GTTGGAGAAACAATACGTGTGAATTTCAACAACAGTTGGGTCAAGGGAATCCTAATGAGAGAAAAAACACTTAATTACAGCTTTCACAGAAGTGTGTGAGCATGCCGCGTTTTATTGGGTGCGACTTCATTTCAAAGTACACTTGGGGTCAGCTGCGTAATCTCACTGACAATCTTTAAAGCCATCCATGGAAATAAGGACAACCTTTGCGTTCGCAAAGAGGCGATGAAGGTGTGAGCTGCACCTGCAAGACCAGCATCAGCTCTTCGTCAGAGCAAGTGGGACGGATGCAGGACTTGAGAGCGCTGCATCTTTGAAAGTGGGCTTCAGGAAGCCTTATAAGCTCGTAGATCGTGCCGTGTTTGTCACGCAACACAAACCTCTCGAGAGGAGAATCCGTGTGTGTGTGCTTGTATGCGCCAGAGGACCACTTTCGCAAATTTTCACCAACCAACTGAGGCCATTTGTGGAAAGCGAGGAACATGTGGAGCAAGCTTTTGTAAGAGTTGAGATTAGAAATAGACTAGTAATGGTTAGGGTGAGTGAAAATGTCTGGGCTATGCATAATAGCAGTTATTACATTGAGAGGAAGTCAAAACAAAGTCGTAATATGGGTAGAAATACACAACTAGGTGTGTGTGTGTGTGTGTGTGTGTGTGTGTGTGTGTGTGTGTGTGTGTGTGTGTGTGTGTGTGCGCGCGTGTGTGTGTGTGTGTATATGTGTGTGTGTGTCTGCTGCATCTATCCACAGCTGCATCTTGTTAGGGCTCATCAGGAGGCGACATGAAGGCAGGGCAGAGGAAAAGGACAGTCACCAGTTTGCTTGTGGCGTCACAGTGATAAATTCCCTTCCTTCCTTCCTGACCCGTAGCTCTTTCTTCCCGGAGTTCAGAACTCCTTCAGTACAAGGTCTTCATTCCTTGTCTCAGCTTCATCGCCGGTCTTCCACCTCCTTGAAAAAAAATAAAAATAAATAAATAAATAAATCAGCTGGAGTTTGTCTTTCTCCTGGGAAACATTTGCATGCCTGTCCGCCCTTCCGCCCGAGTCCACGCCGCTCCGAATAGACAAAGAACAGTGAAAAGACGCGGCCAAAATCCTCAGACTCTGCCGATCACGCAGCCTCCAGTCCTCCGGAGCTCTCACCAGAGGAGTCAAGAGACACAGATACCCTTTGTCCCCGTCCTGTTTTCACTCTGATCTCATGAGCAGTTTCAAACCCAAGCTGTTCTTCCTCTTGCCCTGAAAGCAGAACAACGAACCCTCGTTGGAACCTACAATAAAACTCTTAAAGTTCCGACGACCTCCTTAATAGACACAACATGATGAATGATGTTTCAAAAAGGTTAATGCATACTTTTGACTGCATGATGTTTTCAGGTGCCGCTGCCAGAGGGGACAGTCTGATAAATTAGAGTAAAAAGTTTCTATTGATGGGGAACACCGACATCTCTCTTTTGTTGTCTGGTGGCAGATGCATCAATCCTGTTTTTCCACACCAGGAACTCTACCGTGACAGACAGCTCTCATTCTTGAGCCGCATGCAGAATGTCAGACCTGACACGCACAGCTGGCGTTGCTACATGAAAATGAGTCTACCTGAAGTCGAACTCTTCCAGGTTCCTTTCTTGACCTCTAAATTCCAGAATCTACCAAAAGTGCAGCTGAAAGAACCCACACCGACTCGTTTAGGGGGTGGTTGAAGAGTTTCACGCAAAATTGAAAACTGTTGTATGTGTTGGCTTAAACAAGTAAGTAAGTCACAAGTAAACAAGAGCTGAACATATTCCATTTGGCATCCACTCGTGTCTCTGCAGGTCTGACCGTCGAGCCGAACGTCCAGTAATCTGTCTAGAATACGTCCACCCGTCTTCGTGAGCACGTCACTATAGGTCCCACCGGCAACTTTAATGAGTCTGGAGCCAGACCCGTCACCCGCTGTCACAGCTGACAGTGATGTATTAGCCCGGTCGTTGCTGATGTTGGCGCGTTTCTTGCTCATGGTGGCGTGAAATTAATGTGAGGGTTGCTCCATCGCCATTTTGATTCCTTAATTCCCTGACATATTTCAGAGCATCCAACTGCCCTTAGAGGTCACATTAATTATTAAAATAATCAATCCCCGGTGTCTCATTTAAAGAGCACACATGGGATCATACACCAGGTAGGTCAACAAAAAAAAAAAAGACTAAAATAGTTACATCATAAAAGAGTATTCCAAGCTTTGAACGAATCTCTGGTCAACATATCATCTAAAACCAGAATATGGCACAACTAGAATGATGCCAAGACACGGCCTTCAAGTTAAGCTAAAAAGCTCGAAAGGAGACCATCAATAAAAGAATCAGCCCAAAGGATAATAAGGGCGGCACTATTGTTGAGTGAATAGATGTTGATGCTTGTACGTTACTAGTCATGTAAGGAACACAGAAAATGTGAAGGAAAGTGGGGTCAGATGACAGTTCAATGTAAGGGGTTTGTCAACAAAATGCTATGTGTGTACAGAAACTACTGCACACCTTGAACACACCATCCCCATTGGGGAACATAGCATTTCAAGCTCCAGTAGACTTGACACCGGAGTGGAGGCTCATCTCCAAGCAGAAGGTTCGGTAAGTTTAGAAGTTGCTGAGGTCTTGCGGTTGGATCACAACCCAACGATCAAGAGATTACAGAACCTTCTGTTCACTGACTGCTCTAAGGATTTTTCTCAGCTGGTCGCGACACGTTGTGCCTGAAGATACCACAGATGTCCAAAGTTAACGCGGGAAACTGATATGCATTGCGGAGATTCTCGTGAACGTCAAAAGGTTTTCTAGGTGTTGCTGGACAAGACAACCCAAAGAAAAACCGTCTGTCTTGAGCTTTGTGACAAACTTTCCTCGTCTTGATCTGCAACCTAATCTTGATGCGACTGATGGGAGCACTGAGTGCAGCTGACTCTTTGACTAGCGGCTAAAAATGTCTAGAATTGGACAGTCCAAGCAGGCCATCTGTAAACTTTCACCTCCTCCATTTGTGTCCTTTCACACCATCCTCTGATAAAAGCCGACACTGATGGGAGTAAAATAAGAAGCTGGTCAAGAGGCAACAGAGACTGATTCATTCTTCTCTGCCGTACGGTGCGGATCTCATGATACGCCGCAGTTTGTGTTTTGGTTTTCCTTCGTGTTCGGATCATTCTGGGTTGTTTATAACTGTCTTAAAGGACTTTCTTTGTTCAGTCAATTCCTTTGTGTTGAGTATCTTACTTGTTTCTTATTTTCTAGTATCTAGTTTATGTACTTTGGATCAACATTGTTAGCTTTTTCCTTCTTTTATTCTTTCCTTTGGTTTGTTATTTCGTTTGTATTTCCTTTTAATTCCTGTAAAGCACTTTGTATTGCCTTGATGCTATAAATGGGCTATATAAATAAAATTACCTTTACCTCACTGCCATCCTGGAATCTTCCCTGAATCCAAGGAGAACTTCCATCTTCGTCCCGCATTTCACAAAACTGTGTAAATGCTCCTGTTCGTAGTTGTTGCTTTTGCACCGAGGTCAACATGACCTCAGTTCAGCTGTCACTGAGTTCACTAGTCTCCTTCCCTCAGTGACCCAAATCTAAATACTCACCTGGCTTCACTACTCAGGATTTATTGCCGCGTTCCAGGTACCTGCTGGGAACTCGGAGCTGGGTTTGACATCACAGTTGAGACATCAGGATTCTAGCACCACATACAAAAACACAATTTCAAGCACAAATTGAAATCCCACTTTCTGTTTGGTCACTTTGCAGTTGGAGGCGCTACGTGTTACATCTGAGATGGACTCTTACTGGTGTGTCTTGCATTGGAAACATGTTTCCACCACATCTTAACTGCTGCTGATGAGAGGAGCGGCCTTGCTGGTCCTGACAGGGAGCAGTCGGAGTTGCTCCCAGTTTCCGAGTGGGAAATCCGACTTCAGAGGGCGTTCCAGTTGATTTTGTTTTCCACTGGGAAGTTGGAATTTTCCAAATTCTGAGTACAACTAGAACACGAGTTTCTTGGTTTTCCTTATTCTCTGCTGGTTCCATGTCATATTCACTTAGCGCAAAGGTTGGCGGTTCCTATCGTGTCTGCACCAACACCACGCTGTCAGTGCGTGCATAAGAATTAGTCCAGTGATTTGCAGTCTGTACACGATGGGCGGCTCATATTTCTCCCATTTCTGAACTGTCACGCCAACAAATGTCAGCATCTTACTGACGGTCTTGTAGCTCCTTCCACTGGTTTCCTTGGAAGGGTCACTCTAGGACAACCATCATTGGGTGAGGTCAACCTAAAGTGACTTTTTATTTTTGGGTAACAAACTAAAGAGTGACCACATGTAGTTTAGCTCCAATAAAACATTCTAAAAAAACTGAAGCATAAAACTTTCCTGTCTTTTCTCTCTTTCCTGTATTCATTCAGTTCGTCGTGCACAATGTCCAACGAAATGTCTTTCACGGCCGGGACACGCTTTCACGACGCAACACGGTTGTGTCTGTGCTGCCGAGCAACCGACGAAGCCACAAAGCCAGGCATGCAACATTTCATCTTACTTTCTCCCCCGATGGAAAAAAACGAAAGCCTCCAAATGGGAATGTTTTTGATAGACGAATCAATGCTTTTGGCTTCTAACTAAACAGATGAGTCAACCCGGGCCACAAACAGTGAGACTGTTGTTAAAATATGCGGCGGAGTCTTCAACAAAAGGCTGCAGACAAAACCTGGAGGAAAGATCGACAAAAGCCACAGTTGTTTCTTCTGTCGCGTCACAGTGAGAGCCACGCTGGGTATTGCTTCAGCCATGAATGATGTATTCACTTAGGAAGTAAACGGTACAAGCAGAACGGAGCTGGGGGCATTTTCAATCGAGTATTTTAGAAAAATAAAATAGAATAAAATCCACGAAAAGGCAAATTGGACGTCTGTATTATTCTCTCTTCATCCCACGGTGTGCAGTATACAAACAAAATCACTGTGTGCTTCAAAAATAGTTTCACAAGAGCAACGTTTATTAAAATCCAAATTTTTCCTCGTTCTTGTGAGCATTGGATTTACACAATATACAAATGGTGCGTTTTATAGCAAATACACTATTAGGACAGCAGCAGCAGAATTGGCTTGTACAAAAATACATATTTCGTTTTCACAAACCATACCAAAACGAGTCAAGATAATAATATTTATATATATTTATACATATATCTGTATCATAAATATTCACAACTATACAGGCTGAACACAATTCAAGGTAGTGGAGATAATAAACAGAGTTTTTTTTTGAGACAACACTTTACATGGACAATAACATCCTTCTCTTGTTAAAGAAAACAGGCAACACTCTCAAAACCTGTTTTTTATTTTTACTGAGCTAAATGAGTGAATTATGTTTTATTGAAGTAATTAAGGGAAATTTATCAATTGAGGTAATTTATTAAAAAATAAACTAATATAAACAAGATAATCTTGGCAAGTACTTTAGATAGGTAGAAGACTCCAAGAGGCGTATAAACAAGATTTATTCACGTTAAATTGGCTGATTTTCTTCATTAAAATATAGTAGTGACATGAAAGCATCCTCAAAAAGATTTCAACTAGAGAGGCGCGCAGAGAAATCAGCTGGTCGGCAAAATAAGCTGATCCTTCTAGTCGAAAACTCAAGAATCTGATCTTTTTTTTAACCATCAGTGAAGGCACCATACCAACGCTCTGTGTGGGAGACTAAACTAGATGCTCAGTATTATTTAAAATGTCAATTCCTTAATAGTTTTGTGCTTTGAAATGATAGTAAAACACAAAAGATTTATCCCATTAGCTTATGCATTAAACACGTGAAGGGAAAATATCAGTACGTACAATCAAAACTTTAAAAACCAAGAAGATTTGGAATTTGGCTACAAATCTGTGCTCAGTGCATCTGTAATTTTATCGTGGATTTTATCGTAATTTTAACATCCCATCGTGGTCACAGAGATCCAAACCAGAGCTACCGATAACAAGAACACTTGTGTGAGAACATATAAGATGTACACATTCATCTTATATGTGGGTAAAAAAAAATTAACTGGAAAGTTGTATTAACTGTTCATAAAGGCAGAGCGATAATCACTGCTAAATATAATTTCTTGCTAATTGCGGTGCCTATTTGTACCTTTAAAAATACAGAGCACCATTAGCGTACTCAGGACTGTAACATAAGAAAAACATATAATACCATAAAAGGCAACAGCTGTACACAAATAAAACAAACATCTGATATAAAAAACAAAAAAACCAAAACGCATTCTCCCATTTACAATTTGTCTGTACAGTTCTTATGTTACACATACGACTCTTCTGCAAAGAAGAGCTGTTCGAAGTCCTCCAGTCGCGGGTCGCTGCACCGCCTGCTCTGCCACTCCTGCTTATTCTGCGCTATTGCCACGGCAACCTCCTGGCTCTTTCGCAGGCAGGAGTTGGGGTCTGCCTGACCCTGTGAGGAGAAGTAGTCCCTAACCACCTGGGTGGCGGAAGGAGACAGGCAGAGCGGAGGCATGGTGTGGCCGGACTCCACATGCGACGCCCGCCGTCTGTCGCCGTTCGGCTGAGGTTTACTGCCCAAAGGTCTGTCTAGGGTGAGGCTCTTGTCGGTGTCCGAATTGGCCAAGACCTTAGCAGGCTCGGAGGCTCGGCGAGGAAGGGTCTTCCCTCCTTTGTGGCCTTCGGCAGCAGGGGTGAGGGAGTGGGATTTTGGCCTCTGGAGGACCAGTGTGGTCGCCGTCTGTCCATAGAAAACACTCTGCGGAGGTCGGACTCTCTCTGTCCGCGCCGGTTTTTGCGAGACCTGGGCTCCTGCGGCCGGTTTGGGATTGTCCGATGAGTTTGCACCGGAGGATTTGGAAGCGCAGCTCCGGTCGTGGAGCTTCCTCAGCTCTTTGACGGTCAAGGGTTTCTCTGCGCCTCTGTAAAACGGGGAGCGGTTACGCTGAAGCTGGATAAGAGCCTGCTGGTAGGACGGAGGGCTGCTGGACCGTCGTTGGCAGTTTTCGTTTGGCTCTGTCGCTGCCGTGTCGTCAACAGCGACAGAGCAACCACCGCCGGTTGGGTAGGAATTCCCGTTCACCACAGTTAAGTCCTCCAAGGGTCCGCTGTCGGATTGTCTCAGAGACAAGCAGCGGTCCTTCTTGAGCCAGGTGTTGGGGTGGAGTCCGTGGGATTGGGAGATCTGGTTCCCACGAGGCGGATGGACGGATGGTTGCCAATGGGGCGTGGCGTCCCTCTGAGGCGGGGAGTCTCTCGGCGACTGTTGCGTAGCTGCGGCGTTCGTGGCATAGTCAGTGGAGTACTGAGAAAAGGCAGAGTCTAAAGAGCTGAGGGAAGATCCTGTTGGAGAAGTCGCCGGTGAAGACAGGCTGGAACAGCTGGCGTCCAATCGCAGCGGAGGCGGAGGCGCGTGCTTCGTCTTCCTCCGCCCACTGCTGGCTCCTCTCTGGACACAACCATTCTTTACCTCCTCATTTAGCTGCAGTCTGTTCAAACCCTGCTCCACAAACACCTCGTCCTCTTCCCCCTCCATGGCTGCGTCATAGCTGGCCTTCCTTAAGGGTAAGTGGTGGTTGTCCGCGTTGACCGCCACCATGCTGGAAGACGGCACATTAGCTAAAGCCAAGGCCGGCTCGGAGCTTCTCCGGAGTCTCCTTGGACCGTGTGACGAGCCGTGGCGGGGCTGCCGTATGGCAGGGCTGAATCTCCTGGGCCTGGCCAGAGGGGGGAGCTGCAGCAGGTGATCGGTGTCGGGGTCCGGCTCCGGGTCGCCGTCACTTAGGGTGATGACCGAGTCCCGGCTGCGGCTTTCCGGCTTGGCTTTTTCGCGCAGCAGCAGCTGTTCCTGATAGGGAGACTCGGGGTCATCGTTCAGCTCGTTCTCCAGACTGTCGTAGGACGAGTCGTTCATTTGGAAGGACGAAACATCTAGGGAGGATAGGAAAGGAGAAAGATTTTTAAAAACACCAAACTCAAAAAGTAGCCAACAGTGCAAAGTATTTTGGTCTAGTTTCCATCGCAAATATCTCGGTACACTTGAAATAAGAAAGCAAATTTAGAAGTAACTTCTCAACATGATATATGAGCTTGTTTTACATCAAAAATTCTTGAATATTGATTAAAAGTGGTAGTTCCACTGGCTGATTATTTTTCACATATAACACAAGGAAAATGTCTAATAATAAAAGAAAAAAAAAATCAATATTCAAGAATTATTGACTTAACAAGCAGCTATATCTTGCCTTAAAGTTACTTGTGAGTTAGTTTAGTCTTACTTTATATGTTCTTATTTATTTACTCAAGAATTATAGAAAAAAAGGCTCAGTTTGCAAATTATTTCCAGTTTCTGAGCTCAAGACCAAAACAACAAGCTTGCCCTGACCTTGAGTTTCAAAGGGAAGTTGAAGAATTGACAAGAGGTAAACATTGTCAAAGAAAACAATTGCTGACCCTGTGAGGAGAAGTAGTCCCTAACTACTAGCTAAGCTAGCTTTCTCCTAGCTTAGCACGCAGCTAAGCTAACGTAGCCTCGCGCTACTTTAACTATGCTCTGTGTCTAATGTTGACGTAACTTCCACTGTTATCTGGCGTGTAGGTACTTTTTAAAATTATTTTGTTGGACTTTTAGTTAAAAAAAAGTTAGACATTTTAGGTTCCAGGCTTCAAACAGCTACATTGTGGACAAATAGGCTGCGTTCAGCCTGATTGTTTGAAATAATGCGACCTGAATCTGATCTTTTAATAACAGTATGAACAGCACAGGTCGAATTCGTCTTGAATCCGATACGTATCCGATTCAAATGCGACCTAACATCACATTGAGTGTGATGTTAGGTCGTTGGGTGTCACTGATTCTCAACAACTGTCACTATTCTGCACTCTGACACACGCAAGTGGGAAGAAAAACAACAATCATGACGTTAAGTTGTTAACTACTGCGCATGCGGGACACTTTCAGGTCGTTTGCCGTATCTTTGGCAGTGTGAACGGCTCCAGCAAAAGTGAAGTGAAGGCCTGAGAGCAACTAATGATCTCGACCTGCCAAGCTGAACGAACAAAAATCTGCCAAGATGTGGAGAACAGAGGACAAAGCTTCATCCTGCCGTGAGCTCTTTGACCTCCGGCGGTTATTTTCGACACGAGGGAGAAAATGAGCGCTGAGTATGAAAGAGGGGATTCAGCTGCATTTCAATCAGCACCTGTGACCCTGGCAGTCACCGAAATTACTGGAGGTCAATCTGCTGACCACAATCAGCAGGACTGAGAGGGCCGAGCCGACTCGGCTAGACAGACAGAGACGGCGAGTCTCAGTCCGCGTCACTTTGAGGGGACAACACAGTGAGGTTTTATCGCCGCTTTCAGAAGAGGAACAAATGTTTGAAAAGCACAGAGCAACCATTCCTAGCCGTTTTACCCCCCGATGTTCATAAAATCAGACGAAAAGTATATAGTTTCTTAATCAAACTGAAACTTGGGCTCCGTCTTTTTCCGTCTCTTGAGTTCTCACCAGATCCGTGGTCGCTGCTGCTCTTCTGGCTGATGTCTTTGAACAACGAGGCGACGTCTCCCAGGACGCTGCTGCAGTTCTCTATGAGGAAGCGCACGAGCTCACACACCTGCAACACAAAAAGCAAACAAAAAAAAAAACACATCAATCTTGTTTCAGCATCTTTTTTTATTTACTCTTCTGCAGCTGCTGACACTTTGTTCTTTGTTTTACAGATGGTTTTTGAAGGATGGCTGCTGTTTATTGTTTCAGTTGTTCAATCAGTTCCTCAGGGAAGCAGCCAAAGTTCAGCAGAAACTGAGCCAACATGCAGTTTCAAAAAAAGTGGCCGCGTCAGCACAAACCGCACGGACGGACAAACGCAAGCAAAAATCACAAAGTCGGAGTGGGAAAAACATCAGAAATAAAAGCTTTTTCTCACAGAGCAGAAAGGTAAAACCTGTACTCAAAGAATATCGAATCATTTGTCGCCTTAACAGATGAATGTCTGAACTATAGTTCGTCTTTAAATCTTTAAAAGGGAAACGTTACTGTCCCTCATGCCTTTCAAGATCTGCATCTAAAAAATGGTAAGTAAAAAAACTATTTAGTCATTAAGCTTAGCTGTATGCTGTTCGATAAAAGTGACCTAAATCTTGTTTTTAGTTTTAAGAATTGACAAAATCAAATCTGTTAAAATATAAATTCATCCTACTGATTTTACTCATGTATTTTATTAATGACCACATGATGACAATCATGAAGAATTGAACTGTCTGTATTGGGATGAAAAGTGTAAAACTGATATTCTGTCTCAGTGAAGGGAACATCATCTTCTTAATGTGTCATTTCATTATTGGTTGCCTCATCATATCAGAAAGTTGAATGCTTTTGCACTCAAACTGTGAATCAACCCAAAGCGTCATCTTTGGGCCGTCTTTGGGTTGACGCCCCAATTCTCGCTGAATTCAGCGAGAATTTAGCTGAATTACGAGAAAACAAGTCCAGCTCCTCTCCCACCTCAGCCCCTCCAAGCATCCAGCATGCCGATGTGAGTGAGTCTTCACGAGTGCAGACAGCATTACTTAATCACTGTGGGGGTGCGCTATCAATGGGCCTTTGCAACAATATTTCTTTAGCAACTCTTATATCATTTTGTGGGAGTGGTGTATGTGTGTGACATTTATATCTGAAGGCTTGTTTGATGTCCAAAAAGCATTGAAAGCAACATGGTTCAGCTTGAGACCCCAAGTGTACAGCGCGCCTTTGGAAAGGCTTTATTTACTCTTTTATTCACCAGGTAGCAACTTCTGAATTTCTGGTAACACCTTCCTGTTTCATCATAAGGCTGATATTCACAACTGTAAACATGGAAGCTAAAATCAAGGCCATTAACCATTTGATGTATAGAACATACAGTTGCATATTGACACTGCTTCAGGGTGCTGGAGAGTCTTTCAGCTTTGTTGTTTTGATCCATGACCTTAATAATTTTGTAAAACAGCTACCAAAGGTGGTACTTTTTAGGTGGTACTTTTTAGTCTCTTAGTTTATCTTAGTTGTTTGTGCTGCACTGACGTCAACTTCCCGAGTCCTTCAAGAGTATTTGCATTCCACAGCATCCCTGACTCATTGAGACATCCTTCTGGAACTCCTTCACACGCTGCCCATTATGGATGATGTCCTGCTGATTTCATAGAGTTTCCAGCTCTGATATTTGCTCGCTTGGTGAGCAAGAATAGTCCAGAACGCTCGTCTACTCATCATCCATCGCGTATTGTAATATAAAGCGGAATGTTTTGAGGCCAGGAGGGTCCTATAAAGTCATGTTTACTGGAAGGAATGGTCATTCCGACGAGGTCAGGTTTTTTTTGTAAAATACACCGGCAGTTTCTTTGCTTTGCTATCAGCTTAAACTTAAAACAAATCACCAAACTTTGTCTGAAGCCGCCGCCTTGTAAACTAAACAGATAAAATTTACTAAACACCAAAGACGGCGTCCGACGCAAACACCAGAGTCCCAAAGTTTCCGCTTGAGTCTGCCTGTTGGGTTTACACAAGAGGAGCTGTTGTTGTTCCCATCGCTGTTCCTGTGTGATAATACATTAACATTAACGCTGTACAGAATAACACAAAGTAAAGCATACGTAAATAAAGATTGAAAAATGTAGGGCCTGCATTTGTCTTCAGCTCCATTTACTCTCACATCCTTAAATGAAATCCGGGGCAACATTTTTCCGGGCTGTGTTGTGGCGACCCACAAGCCAAAAGACGCCAAAAACGAGCTGGGAACAAACGGCTCCAATAAAGTCCAAGGAACGGGCAAAGGGACAAAGTTGTGAACTTTATCCAAAGGAAAAACATAGAAAAATATGTTTCAAGGAAAATATCTGGCATATAATTCCAGATTTGTGGGGCCTGATTAAAGCTGAGATGAATTAGGAAGCAACAAATAATTGCAAAAAGCAGCTATAAAGAAAGAAAAAATACTACAATGTTATCTTAAAGTTTAGAATAATTTCAGCCGCAGTGAAGTCTTTGCAAATTCACAACTATTCCAGTAGGATGTCACGTTTACCATTTTAAACACACTTTAAACACGAAGCACATCAAATAATTCTAATTAAAAAAACATAAACCTGCAGGCCAGATGGGGAGACTTTCATACAATGCTTTCATTTCCTTTTTCCACATTTTATCATGCTACGACTTTAAACTTCAGTAAATATTTTGGGGTGCTTTTGATTGACGCAAAAAGCTTCACTGTTTCATGCAGTTACAGAGACGTAGCCTCACATCCTTTGTCCGCCCTCAAGCTCAGTCAGAACGGTGAAAAATGAATCTTAGAGTCTTGACACAGATTCTGAAATGGATAGATATCTGAACTTTGCCTCGGTCGTTCCAATGCATGATTGTGCTAATAATATAATCTCGAATATCTAATTTGCAGGAGCAGAAATCTGCCCTACAGAAATGATGCTGCCACCCGAACTGGGTTTTACTACCGGCGAAAAACACGACAGGAAGTGGCTGGAGGATGTTTTTTAATGACAATGAGTAGAAAAACTTATAAAAGGGTGATTTTATTTGCGTTTCTCATTTAATAAAACGCCGCGGTTCAGAAATAGTTTCTTTTGACAAAATGTTGCACTCAAAACTTTCCATTTCCATTCATCGTTTGATTTGCAAAATAAAAATAAACTGCTTTAACTCCGCCAACTTTGGCTATGCCTATATCACACAATACAATGAAATGCATAGAGGATTGTGTTAAAAACTGGAAAAAAGTCATGGATGCCAGGTACTGTAGATTAGTGCAACACGCTTGTTGTCTGAAATTTACTTGCGCAGCCAAAGCTGTGGAATAACTTCCTGTTTCAGCAACAGAGAGAAGTCAGCACAGTTTTAAAATGAAAAAAACAAACCAGGCAGAAGTAAAAGGACTGGCCAGCATTTTTATATATTTTTAACCACAGTCAAGAAAAAAACAAAGTGCGCACAAACTAAAGCTGCAATTACCTCAGAAGCTCCTACACAACTATGTTCAGCCAAAAGCATTTAAATTATATGCTGCTGTGAAGGAGAACCAGACACTCGGGCAAAACAAAATCTGCTAAATCTCAGTGTCCACGTGTCTGACGACAAGGTTAGCAGCCGGTGGGAAGCGTCCAAATCTGCCTTGTTAGAAGAAAAGGCTGCCTATTGGAACCAACACACACACACACACACACCCACACACACATTGTGGCGGCAGGGAAAATGTGACCAGGGGAGTATTTGTGAAACTGATCTTCTGGTATTTGAGGGTGTTGAGGATTTCTGTGCTGACAAGTGTGTGTGCGTGTGTGAAGAAAGAAAGAAGGGCAAAAGAGGGGTGGGGGGTAGCAGTGACATTTCTGCACACATATTTGGCTTTGGGATTGTGTAGGAAATTCTTTGCATGTTTTCTCAATGAACCTCAGCCACTCTAAGGAACACACACACACACACACACACACACACACACACACACACACACACACACACACACACACACACACACACACATGCCTGCTTTCCCTCTCACATACACACATTTTTGAAAGGATAAGCAAATCAACCACCCACAGAGATCGCATGTTGTGCTCAGTGATAAAATTTTAAAACCGACCACAAATCAAAATGAGTTGTGAAGCTACATGATGGACACTGGAGGAAGAAGCAGCAGAAGTAGGTATTTACAGTGAAATATTGAAAAAATTAATTATTATTATAAGCTCAGAATTTCTGAAGTGGGAGTTTCAAACTGCTACTTTTCTATCTTCCTGCAGCGGCCACCTGTGCTATGGGAAGAGTCAAGAGGTTCAAAACGGGGACCAGAACCAAAAGAAGTGAAAATGGATCGTAACATAAAGTTTTCAGACAACACTATGCAAATTAATTTGATTACCCGAAGGACTTTAGCATTTTTATAATTGTTTATCTTCATCCCTAAATATTCTAAAGTACAGACAAAAATGACCTTATATGCCACAACTTGCATAAATAGGTTCATATAAAAGTATTACGCTATGAAATGGGGTCCAAAGAGACAAACTGACCCAGAGTGAAACTCACTGGCTAACGCTAGTTTGCTAGCTCGTAACAAGTGGAAGTTGGGGTAGAAATATGATATTTATTTTATTTTTTGCTGCATTTTAACTGATTTGCTAAATCACCAGAATGTTTGTTATATAAAAATTATTGGAAATATTAACTACAAGAGGTTTAGTAAAAATAATAATAATAATAAAAAAAGACTTGGACCTGGAACTGCTACAGTTTTTCTGTAGTGTCGTGCTGTAATCTCAGAGGTTTTATTCTCATTTGAACACAAGAATGTGATGATTTCATTTTAGGACCATTTCCATGCGAAGGCTTGTGAACGAGACTCTCTCCACGCACGCAGTCATCATTTTGTCAACACACACTCGCTCGCTGTATTACTCACACACTAAAACAGATCAGACTATCCAGAGTTTTGGGAAATACGCTTGCTTTATTCCTGGAAGTTAGAATGATAAGGCTGTAGCTCAATAAGAGGCAGCTGCGAGGTTAGGTTACCATGAAATGCAGAAACGAGGAAACGGTTGGCCTGTTTTATGCAGAAAACTTCCAAAGTTGCTCAATTTATTTCCATCGTATTGTTTTCTGTAGGTTAAATATAGAAAAAAAACCCCAAAAAACATTCAGAGTAAGAAGACAAAAGAAGGAATTTAAAATTCGGTTAATCTCTTAGATTTTACAGTTGGAATCAACATCTGACAGTTAAATTCAACAACTGTTAAATTTTAACAATGTTTGCCTTCATAGGCATTTAGATTAGAATTTATTTTAGGATGCTAGCGCCAGCGTTTCTATTCACAGTGGATGGTATCCAGCAGGGTGTATTACATCTGTGTCAGCTTAGTAAAAGTTATGATCTGTCACATCAGAAATTTAGGTCTTCTTATCCAGCTGGAACTAATTTAGCAACAGCGCTAATGCTAAAATAGATCTTGCTAGCAAGCGGAGTTCCTCAACTTTGAAGAAGTCATTGCTGATGCAAAATGTAGCTTTGGTTGTCAAGAATGCAGCTGACATGAAACCCTGTTAAGATTTAAATGTTTATTGCAATTTCACTCATGTTTAACCCCTTAACCCTAAATAATGAATGTTTTTGCTTTGTTTTTTTTTACATGAAAGGAAAAACTAGAAGAGCAAAAGTAATATTACCTTTAGAATTAGTTTGAAATTCACAAAATCAGTTCAGCAAGTACATTTGGGATTATGGCCATTTTATTTCAGCTCCTTTTTTTTTTAATATGTCAAACTTTCACAGACATATTGTGGAAAATACAGCAAATAAAATTAACACAAATTGTTTCTTCATTTTTTAGGGTTAAATTTGAACAAAATTAACTTACCTATACATTTAATTAGAATAAATGCCATCTTGATTTTTTGTCCAAACGCTAAAATTCACTGCCATCTCAAACGAGTGCATATCCCCAAATATCCCTCTCACTTTGTTAAATATTTCCACCAAATCTCATCTGATAACAGACCTCATGAACTGAAACGCTGAAAAAACAAAACTCTTGGGTTTCGCACCTTTTTTGTGGCCTCTCCCTCCACCTCTGGCGTGCTCGGGGTCGGAGGCCAAAGCATGCTGGGAGCGATGCAGACCGACAGGTTGAAGGCGTTCATCTGGTTGTCGTGGGCGCTGCCTTGTATGTGGTGCAGCACAGCCATCACGTGACGCAGCAGGAGATGATTCTCACTGGGCAGCAGCTGCAGCAGCCTGCAACAGGATGATGGACAGACGGGAAATGCAACGACAGAAACATGCAGTCTGACGTAAGAGACTGATTCATGCTCTGTCCCACGTTTTTTATATACATTTTTATATGTACAGAAGAGGCTCTAGATCAGCAGCTCGGCTGCAGATTCCACTCTTGCTTCCATGTTGCGTGTTATTTATTTTTCCTTCGGCAGAAGGAATTCGTTTTGCTGCTTCTGGAATAAAAGTGTCGCTGGGTGTCGTGCCCTTTATTCTGCATCGCAAACAAACATGACCTCCCTGTGACACGGCTGAGCGGGAACATTCTTAGCAGACAGGAAGGATTCTGGAGCCCGAGTATGAACCGGTCCAGGACTTCCAGCTCCTACCTCTGAACACCCGGCAGCCGCTCCTCTCCTCCGTCTCCTTCCATCGCATCCATCCACTGATCGTACAGATCCACACACAGTATGCTGCCCGGGATGTTTCGCAGGAAGTCCTGTAAGCACAGAAGGTAATGACAATTTTTTTAGTTATTTTTTTGGTTTAGTCAATCTTAAACCTGCAGCTACATGTTGCTCATGTTGTACTTTTTATTTTGTCTTTAATTTTACAATAACTTCTTGTGTTCACACACATTGTACTTTTCCACATTTTGTTGCTGCGCAAACACAAACTTCTTTGTATTGTATTTGGACAAACACAAAATAAGTTCTTAACGAGACAGTCAAAAAGACAACACTACTTTGCTAAAAAAAAAGGGAAAATTCTTAAAAGGAGATGGACATATTTTGAAAACGCTGCAAATAGTTTAAGGTAAATGTCGAAAAACGAGACAATATCTCATATATTCTTATTTAAAGTTACTTGTTTTTCTTCCACCTCCTCCCGAATCTGAGGGGAAGGGAGTTGAACACCTGAGCTGCTCTTGTTTGGCCTGGAAGCTGAACAAGGCAGCACCTTGTGAGCGAGTCTGGCTTCCTGCCTGGCCGCCTACGCACCGTCACCCCGTCTGGACTCGGGCGACTTTGGACGCGCTTCAGTCGAACCTGCTCTCTGTTGTCTGGTATCGAATGGGTGAGAGAGTTGGGTGCGTGTTGTGAGGCGGGGGAAGTGGCGTTACCTTGAGGACGGCGGCGATGACGAACACAGACTGGTGTGTGATCTCCGGCTCCTCCGTCCCGCTGTCCAGCCTGTCCCGAAGCTCCCTGCAGGCCTTAGCGCCAGCCGAGCGCCTGAACACACCCTTGGTGTACGGCCCTTCCTGATAGAGGAACACTAACATTTCCTAAAGAACAGAAGAAGAAAAATAAAATTTTTTCTCTCTGTCGTTTTTTTTCCTCTCCCCAAAAAATCTCTAATCTGAGTAACTTATAGTGATCTCACCATGACGGGCTTGGGCAAGCCGTAATCTGAAGAGCACACCGAGTTCAGAGGCTGTCCAAACAGCCGTCCCGGGTTAGGAGAGAGCAGCGATGGGGAAAGAGGCAGGCTGTCCAGCTGGGTGCTGGAGCCCCTCCAGAAAGGCCAGTTGATCAGGGATCGCTTCCTCTTGAAGGTCTTCTGCTGACCGGGCTCTGCACAGGACAAAACAATGGAGGTTTTGGTTTCAAATAACGTATCTTAACCGACATTAATCTGTGTTGTCATTCAAAGCAGCTTTAGCTCAGCCTGTAGTGATAACAAATTTTGCTGGACAATAAGTCGTCCCAGAAGTTATTGCGATAAACAATAATATTGTTGTTTTGAGACCATTTTCAATAATGCAAAAATGATTAAATTCTAATGAACATGTGACACTGGAATGGGAAGTTATTTTAAATGTATGAAATAACAAATAAAATGACTTATGAAGTTTCTCAACAAAAATAAAATGGGCCAGTTGAGACCAAAGCATCAGACTGAAAACTTTTGTCATCCAGTTTTTGGTAAAAAACAGAGAAAGAGAAAAACTTCCTGAGCTCGTTTTAATTTATGATGGGATTAATTGATTTATCGTTTACTTCTTTGAGTCTACCAGTAGCTACATTTTAGGGCAAGTTGAAGTGAGGCGTGCGCAGGCAGGACGGATACTTTTAGTGCAGGTTCATGAAAACGAAACAAGACAGACTCACAGAAAGAGTCGATGAGGAAAATGCAGGAGGACGTGTGCTGGTGGTTGAGGACAGCGTTTATTGTGTGTGCCAGTAGGATGTGGTTATGTTTTTCCGTGCATGGATGTTGTCTGACATACTTGCATGGGGCCCTGTGGTTGTCTCTTCGTATTCGTCACTGTGTGCCCTCTGCCGAGCGGTGAGGTCAGTCTGTACCTGTGCTCTGCAAACACAGGTCTGCCATGTGTCTGCATGTGCTCTGCTCACTCTGAACAGTGTGTTAAAATTTATGAACTTGTTTAAAAAAAACAAACAAAAAATAACATATATATATAAAATAAATAAAAATAATTACAGGTTTGCAGACATGTACCAAATGCAATGTAGCTATGGCGTCATCTTTCTGGTTTCTATTCTGTTGGAAGATAAATCAAGTTCAAGTTTAGATTAAGCCTGTTGCAATTTGGTCAATTAATCGCTTTGTAAAAGAAAATAAGCTCAATAATTTCCATTCTGATGATTCATATTTTTTGAAGAATAATTTTGCTTACAAAAACTTCATAATCCATGTTATTTATGGTTTCTGTTGTGTGGAGTTTTTGCTTCTGTTTTATTTAATAGTTTTTGGTTGTCATATTTATTAGTTTATTAGTTTTAAGACGGCAAACCTGAATTATTACGCAATTATCAATATATGCCATAAAAACGGTCTCAAAACAGCAATATTAGTGTTTTTTCGCAATAATTTTGTTGAGGTAGCAAGTTGGTCTCATTTAATGGTAGGTCAAGTTTAGATATGAGTCAGACAATTAAGTTTTGGTCTCAGATGATCAGAGGTTCTGGTTTACCAGATCACTTCTAGTATCTGGTTGCACTGGATTTCATTTAGGGGTCTCACAGTAAAGGAGATTGAACAAAAATGCTCTTTGCGGTTTTTTATTTGAACTAAAACTTGAAAATCACATATTTTCCTTGCAGTGCAGAATTAACCACTACAGTTGCATCGGCCAGAGTTTGCAGTTGCAACTTAAAAAAAAAAAAAAAAAGTGAAACGGATTTGAACACTTCTGTTACTGTTGATAAAATGTGGAAAATGCAACAGAGAACCAACACATGCAGAAAGACCCCAGGTCAGGATTCAAACCAATGACCTTCCTGCTGTAAGGCAAGAGTGCTTCCTGCATGTTGGGATAAGTTGAGCTAAAAGTCGACTTTAGCCTAGTCTTTGTGTGATTTATTTACACAAATCCCTAATTACTTCTATTGCCACATATAAAGGGATTTCATATCAACTGGTATCACATAATGTGCTGCTAATAGCAAGTGACCTGGCAAAAAACACTCAACCTCGTAATAAATCTTTTAACAAGCAACAGCCCTCGCACACAACTGCTGCGAATCCAACCTTTTATTGAACGGCATTTGTTTTACTAGGCAATTGTGATTCGTATTCGAGGGTGGGGACGTGAACAAAAACAAAAGGTTCTTTAAGCGGGCGGAGGATCCGGTGGCCAAAACACGCCACATACCTCTCACAGAGTTCACGATTTAACAGTCGGTCATGGAGTCGTGCTTGAACACACTCTGCAACAAAAGTTCAACAGCAACACAGTTACTGCCCCACTCTGGTGCTTCTCACAACAAAGAGCCTCTGACCTTGCTGCGAAATTATTACAACTCAATGAGGAGGCGATAGAGAGACAGACTGCTTGTCCACATGGTGGGCCAAAGCCTCAAGAGCATAGCGTCTTTAAAACCCTAAAACACAGAAGCCAGTTCTAATTCTTGCCTTCTTCTTTAAGCTGAAACAATGTCTATTACATTGAAGCTCGTAGACTCTTCTATGAGAAGCCCGACAGCCTAAATGTGACAGAAAATATGAGATTTGACAAACATCTAATCGAGGGAAACCCCTCAGTTACATGTGGTTGCTACTTTTGTTAGCGGACTAGCTTTAATTTTGTTGAGGTAGCAAGTTGGTCTCAATAGAGCTCAACGAAAAAAAAATTGGAATGAGGGGAAAAAGTAAATGAAGTGATTTTGCTGAAGAAAAAAACATTGTAATCATAGCATCAAGGAACAGTTTGGAACCCTTGGACACACACATACACACACGCACACCGCAGGCAAAAATGCACCGAGCAATTCAGGTTAATTGCTGAACCTGATGTGCTACTTCTCCTTGCATTCCTGCACTTTGTAAACAACATTTTTGCACTGGTCCAATGTACTGAGTGCGAGTTAAGTAGGTCACAAATGCAACAAAATTTAGTTCTGAGTTTTCTAAATGGACAAAATGTGTTTCTTCTACATAGTGTGTCGTTCTGTTTTCTGGGAAAGTTGTGAAAGTGTTTTATGTACATCAAGAACATTTTATTCAAGAATAGGCAGAGAAATGGCAAAAAATAAATATGTAAATCCTGTCCTTTTAGTGCTTTACTTTGTCTACTTAACACTTTTGAGAACTTTGCAAAGGCCACATAGAGACTCAGTCATTTTCAATGTCAAGGAAAATGCAAAAAGCTGACAACATCATACTCTAAAGAGGAATGTCTGGTGAGAGTCAGACTTCAGCAGATCACAGGAATGCTGAACAGATTCAAACAAGATTCTTTTTTTTCCCTCTTTCTTTTTGCACTTTTATCCTCAGAAGACATTGAATATGAAATGATGGCATGTGTTTGCAAATCTATGAGTGAAGGTCGGTTGTACTTATCCTAAGGACAATCACATCAAGTTCATTTGTGCATCCTAAAACCACTAAAATAAACTCAGAAAAACAGACACCAATAGACAAATCAGTAACAAACATTACATTTTGCAGAGTGAGGCAGTGCACATTTTGCAGAGTGAGGCAGTGCACATTTAGCAATGCTAATTTCAGTACAGTAAGATGCTCAAGATAAAAAACTTTTTAGCTCATCTATTAGTAAATATGAGTTGTTGTGATTCAAACATCAGGTCAGACAATTGTTAATCAGTGTCCTCCTCTGATATGGTGCTGGTTTGTGTTTTGAAAAGTGCCAAGGAGAGATAATACGACTTATAAAGAGGATGTGGTACGACTGTTTTTGAGTTTTATTCCATCTTTTCCTTTGTCCCATAAACTAGAGAGGTGGTGTCCAAACCGTTTGTCCACAAAATGCATTAAATTAAAAACTGAAGAGTTAGTTTTTTTATTCATTTATTTAGTCATACTGGCTCAAAAATTCAATTTTTATAAAATCTGTATGTCATTAAAGATCAAAAACATTAAAAATGGCTTCAGGTTGTTGCCTTATTACAAGAAAAACAGACAATTTCCAAATTTTAGGGGTTCATCAATTGTTTTCCATTTTGTTGGCCAAAATGTATCAACAAAAAATAAAAATAAAAATTAATTACCACATCTTGAACTCACCCGAACCAGGTTCCGTGCTGCTGATTGAAACAACCTTTGGCTGTTTTGGTGAATCGCATTGTCCTAGTCGACCATAATCGTACCATAGTGAACAAATGCATATTTTCATTTACGCCAAAAAAACACTGAAATATATCGTAAGGTCAAAAAGGGAAGTTCTTACAGTGGTTAAAATCAGTGCATCAAAGCTTTAGAAAAATCAGAAATTGGACAATGACTCCAAAACTTGAATCGATGCATCCCCCAGTTGTTACGTCATCATGTATCCGTGTATGTTTACACTTCACATTCAGGGTCTTTGCATACAACAAACTACCTCCGCTTCAACAGTAGAACGGTAGAGATGTATCTGAGGTCATCAAAACCTAACACACAAACAAAGTAATGATGACAGTTTCCATTATATTTCATCTGATTCCATTGAGAAGAACAGCAGGCTCCATTTAGTGGTTTTTATTCTGAGTCTTCCCTCCGACTTCAGCCAAGAAGCTTCTTCAACCCCAAAAACCACAATTGGAGCAAATCATCTGGAACGTTTTAAAGAGAAATTATAAAGCATGTTTGGGTGACAGAGATGGTATATTGGAAACATTTTATTTATTTATTTTGGTGTTCAGAGAGGGAGTGACGTGGCGGCCACACTTCCCAATCCCATTGCGCAAGTGAAAACGGAATTGTGTCAAAATAATCCCCCCCCATAAAGAACCTCACAAGAAAAACCAAATCTAATGATTCATGTTCAGCTCCAAAGGATGAAGCACTTAGTCGGTTTAATGGCTTAATAATCATGTGTGAATGACGAAGGCTTTGGTGGTCTGGAGAGTCCCATCAGGCAGATGACGCTCCATGCCTGAAGCTGACAGGTCTGGATTAAGTGAGCATCTTCGAGACTTTGCAGTGCTTTAGCAGAATATTTTGTATTGAAAGTGAATCTTTTTGATAAACATAGAAAACTAAAACTTCAAGGAAGGAGGGGTGTGACTGAACCATTTCTGTCATAGCTAATTACATTTACTTGGCTAACTTTTTTTTTTTGGAGGGGGGGGGGGGGAAATTTACTTTTAGGAATAGTTTCACTCCATTGTACTGTTTACTTTTACTCCAGTAACTTCATTGTGAAGTATTGTTACTCTTGGGCAAACTTTCTGGATACTCTACCTACTGTGAGTAACTTCACTGAATGAAGATCAAACAAGTTTTAACCAAAGATTCATTAGACACACCTGCAGTTTTTGCAAAAATTTTATAAGTTGGTAACACTTTATTTGAAAGAGTGTGCATAAGACTGACCTAGAAAAATCAACTATCATGAACATGAAGGACTTTTTATGAAACCTTCATAAAGACTCCATGTTCCCAACAGGGTCAGTCCTATGCACATCCCGTCAAATAAAGTGTTACCCAAACGTTTCATATTTAAAGAAACCGATTTTGAGGTTTTTATTGTTTCCATAAAATATTTTCAATTTGGTCTTTAAAATCGCAACATTTCCACATAACTTTACACTTTGGATCTGTCTGTTGGCGTAATTTTTAAATATTAATTGTTTGATGTTTGATAAGTAAATCAGTACTTGAGTCACCTTCTTTATTTACCTCTCTAATAATTTCTTGGATGGATACTTTTACTTTCAATTGCATTTAAGTACTTGAGTACAATACTTTTAGTTCTCCACTACCTCTCGTCACTACTTCCTGTGCTTTTCAAAGTATTTGTATCTCTTCAACTCATATAAGGTTTTCCTAAAATCCTCCAAGTCAAGTAAATTTTTTCATGTCTCTACATATTGATCCACCAAGAGGAAACATGAGGAGAAAGTTGTTGTTTTTTCCACAACCTGAAAAAGGGGGATTTTGCCCTGCAGCCACTGGGTCGATGCAAACACTTGGGAGCTTTCAGTGAGGGTGTGAGCAATTACCCCTCCACGGCTGCGAAGCTGGCATGGAGGAATTGCGTAACACGCTGTTATGGTTGAAGCTAAAGAATTCGAGGCAATGCTTGCGGTTGGTAAACTGGAGCCTCCTCGACTGGAAAACACAATTTTTTGCTCCACAACTTGTTTTCCTTTAAACCCCATGTCATCCCCTCTGTTTTTTTTTTTTTTTTCCATTCCGGTTTTTGTATCCGCAGTCTGTCCTCGGGTCCGTCCGCCGCAGCCGTCGTCGTGTTTTTCTTCCTCCCCCCCTTACATTTCTCCATCCTGCTCATATTCGAAGTCCCCAGTTTTCTTATCCTCCCCCCTCTAGCCAAATTCCTCTCTCTCGCCATCATCCGAGATCGGCTGTTTTTTTTCCTTCACCTCTGCTGGCCTTCGGTCTTACTCAATAGCTGTGTCATCTCTTTTCGCTTTCCATCTTCCTATTCTCACACTCGTCTCTGTGCCTTCTGGGGTTTCTTTGCCGCTGTCCATCTTGACGGGTTTTTTTTGTGTGTTTTGCCTCGGTGTCTGTCCCAACCCCTGCTGTAAACCTTTGTCGTTTCAATCTCTTCCCACCGTTCTTCTTTTCTTCTCCTGCACCTGTCGCTTCGTCCGCAGGCCAAACGACGCCAACCGAGTGCAAACGTGAGGCCGCTTATGTAAGGAAGCACTTTCTGTTCTGCATTAACGCTTCTTCACTCTCATATTTATTCATGCAGTTTCACAGAGAATCGGACCGACGGGCAGAATCTGGTCATGCGTGTCAGACTCGTTTTTCATTTCGCACCACATAAAGATCATCAATGTCCTCAAAGGGAGAAAAAAACACCAGTTTTACAAACTGTTCAAATTTCTCTACATCCAATTAGTATGTCTTATTTGTTCAACAACTTTTCACATTCATGTATTTTGGCCTGATAAAAATGAAAAAAAGCACAAAACTGTTCTCTTAAAGTTCAATTATGTGGCCCTCTAGAGACTAGAAGCATAAAGCTACAGTTTGACCCCTCAGCCTTAAAGCAACAGTCCATCGCTCCAGCTTCATGGCTCTCTCTGTCTGTCAGGTAAAAGGTGTGCAAGTAAAGTAAAAGGGTTTTATCATAAGCAGCGAAAGTCTCCGTCTGTCAATTCCAACCAAAGTGCAGAATATCCCCTGATTTTTGTTATCCTTAGCAGCAAACAAGTGGTACCAACTGTACATCCATGAAAGCAACAGAAAACTTATTCAAAAGCAGAACTAAGAGTACTTTTCTAATGCCCCTCTGGACAACTGCCCAAACGGCCAATATCAGAACTTGCAACTAGTTTTTTAATGAGTAATTTTGTTCCTTTTTTACCAAAATTTTGAAATTTTTGGAATGTTTCTGATCAGAATGATGGCAATCAAGTTTATTTTTATTTTTACAGCACATTTTATGAACAGGGCCGTTCAAAGTGCTTTCCATTATGAAAACGTCACCAATTTGAGAACAAACATTACATTTTATTGGGTACCATCATCAAAAACATCAATAGGCATCATGTATATGTTGAACAATGTTTCATTAATTACAGTTCAAAGGCAACGGTAAAAAGGTTGAGTTGATTTAAATTACTTCTGTTTTGGCCGTTTTGCAATTTTCTGGAAGTTTGTTCCAGATTGGATGAAATGTTGATTTTAAAAAAACAAAACTCACCTATAATCTGTGGAGGCTCAAGGACCACCTTGTTGGGTTTGAGGATGAACTGGCACTGGGTGTCTGGGGGAAGGCACTGGTCCAGCAGCAGAACTTCAGGGCAGTCGGTCGGACTCATGGGCTCCCTCCCTAGGCCTCCTGTGTGCCCACCAGGGCTGCTCCCTCCGTCCCGAATGTGGCTCATCTTGATGCTAAAGGGAAACTCGTGGCCTGAATGGAAAGGTCAGAGTGCAGAGGTTAAGAGGCAGAAGCTGTGGTATGTGCAGCGCGAGGAGGAGAAGCAAAAGACAAAACGTGATAGAAATTAGGGCCGAGTTGGCACAGGGCGAGAGTGCCTTCTTAAAAATGGAGGAATTCAATGTGAACTACAGAATAAAAAGATTATGGTGAAGGAATGTCAGGGAAATACCACCGCGAGTAAAAGAAAAAAAAAATCATCTGGACTGAAACGCTCTCAGATGTTGATGCTTATACAAAAGCGACGCCGTGCTGAGAGGTTTTCTTAGCTTTTAGTCTTGCGTGATGTTTTCAACTTTAAATCTGTGAATCATTCCTATTGTTTATTTGTTTGCTTGAACTTTATTCTAAATATTAGATAACAAAATGCTCACCAATGAGAGGATATGGAGGATCATCCTTACAGGAACTGACCCACAATCGGTGGTCCTTCACACAGCCCTAAACAGAGAAGAAGAAATTCACTTTTGTTTGAAAAAGAAGCAACGCATCAAGATCTAGAAACGTAACAACCCAATTCCAGTAGGAAAAACCCAATTCCAGTAGGAAGAAAAGTCAAAGTTAGCCACATTTGCTACCAGCGAGGTATGGAAAACTGAAGCATCTAAAAAGGTAAGCCTCATGCTCTGAGGAAAGTTTGCATTTCTATGCTCCTTGTGTGCAAAACACAAAGGGAAAGAAAGCTTTTAGCTTCTTTGGCCTTTTGCTAGCTGAACTATAACTGTCAGAACTTGTTTTACTGAACGCCTCTGCAAAATAAAAGGAAATAAAATAAACATATATTCTAACAACAATGCCTATATTTTAGTTGTTTTAAATCTTAAATTGCCACAGCTACTGCACTTTATTCCCAATTTTTTTCACATTTTACATATTTTTTATGTCTATCTTTATTTTTGTCATTGTGAGGTTTGCTGCTGCCTTTCGTAGCCAGGTGACCGTTGTGAAGTCTTTATTTCAAAGGCTGTTTATCCGGTTAAATAAACGTTTAAAAAAGACAGTTTTACAGAATCCGAGTTCCTGTCCACCCAGTGTGACAAAGCCTCTGGTGCTAAAGTGAATAACTAATGACTAGTAAATGCTAGAAGCCTAGAAATCAAAATGTGAATTGAAATCTATGTTTGGAGCCCAAGTTTTACAGAATTTTTACAGAGATTGTAAATCTTCCACAGCACTCCGACAGACTAATCTCTGTTCACATCCACAATGCCAACAAATGATGGGATTCTTTAGCATCACATTAACTTGTTTGCACTGTTGCTTACCGATATGCCAAACTGCTGCAAAGCCATTCGAATGACATCGTCGGTTCTGTCATTGTTGTTGACGGCGAGCGTCTTGGCCTGGAGAAACGTCATGGAATTACTTATGTGACACATAAAAGGAAATCCTGGCAATGCTATTAATAAGTAAAAACTTCTTTGTGATATAGGACTAAAAAGGGGAAGTAAGTGTAAGGAAGCGTACATATGCACAATTTCCAATGTCTTTGGCAAATATCTTCAGAGGAATGGTTTTGGGATCGTCCTTCTCTTTTCCTTCGCTTAACTGACTAAACATGGAGAAAAAAAGAAAGAAGAGCAATTAATTATTCTCCATTCAGAATGACTGTCATTATGAAATAACTTCAACGGCTGTCACATAATTCATTTTATGTTGAGTTTCACTTTTTATTCACGCAGTGCTGGACGAGAAAACATCTCAACTACATCAAAAAATGTGATCTACATTTGTTCCAGGGAGCAACTCACCCAATGATGAGTGATAACCACTTGTCCTTGATCTCTTCAGAGCTGAAGATAAGAAAAGAAAAATGTTTGAAAAAAAAAAAAAATTAATAATTAAAGCTTTAGCTTCTCTCCAAATCCCGAACCGCAGACTTTGCCTGAAGCGAAGGCTTGATTCCTGCTAACATAAAATGCGATGTGTGTGTGCGTTCATGTGTGTGCGTGGCGCTGACAGGCAGGTGCATAAACACAGCATGGCATGTGTGACTGCGTTTGTTTGTGCTACGTGTCGGGGCCCGTCACGCGCACATGAGGTTGTCTTCTCTCGGTTGAACCGCTTTGGAAAAACAACAACAACAAAAAAAAAAGACGGGAACAACCACAAACGCTCGAGGGTTTAAGGGATTTTATAGCCGCGCATTTGATTTGTAGTTCCCCCTCCGTGATGTGCTTCTGCATCTCAGAACATTGCGTACTCTTTCAGAAACACAAGCCTGCTGACTCACAAGAGCGTTTCATGTTGAAACACTATCTCTCATCTGGAGAGATAGTGTTTGAATGAAATTCTGTACCTCGACGACCACAAACGACATCAATCTGCTCCTATTTGAATCACATTGCGATACAGCCTTTGGCATCTCAGGAAGTCATTTTTCTTACTCTGTTTTGCGTACAAACCTAGATATTTACCTGAAAGTTGCCACAAAGTTACAGGTGGGCCATCCAATGACGAAGCTCCTCTCTGGGTTTGTGCTTCCCTCACACACCTCATCCATGCAGTTCGCCGTCCACATCTCACACACTCTGACCTGAGCTTTTACTTTGAAATGAGTAGGAGACCTGCAAAGGCACAGAACAACTGTTAGCCCAGATAAAAAGTGAAGTCCTGAAAAGCTTTCCAACTGTTGCAGACTTCTTAAGGAGACCCATTGTGCTGCCTCAATCAAGTTAAGATAACTCTATGCAAAACATGTTCATTACATATTTTTTGCACAGGGGCTCTGTCTCTTTAAATAAGCTGCTGATGGTGGCCACTCAATGCTTGCAGCCATTTTCATGAGTAAATGTAAACGGGTACGCAATTACACCACTGTACATCTTTGAAAAACATTAGTGGAGCCTCCTGCACAACCAACGAGAATGCAGCAAGTGGTTTCTGGATGGCAAGTCAACAACAAAACTTTTTTCTTTTCCGGTAGCCATTGTACAGCAGACGCAGGAGACGAACCAGGCTTCGCTGGGGGTGCTGGGTAACAGTGTAGCATGACTCAACCAAATGGGGACTTTTGTTTTACAGACACCAAACTGAATGCTAAAAAAAAAAATGGCTAGGTAGTGTTTTTAGAAACAGCTGAATCCCCAATGGATGAATAAAAACATACATGTGAATTTTGCATCATAGACCCTCATTAAGCTTAGATTTATTGTGGTTTTACCTGGGGATTGTAAAAGATGCATGATGTTCAAGCTAGTTTAAAATATTTGTGTGAAAAGTGTGAAACTCTTTTCCTGCAGTTGCGAGTCAAACCGATAATCCCTCTGCAAATTATTTATTTTACAAATCATGGACTCAGGGAGAATGAATGAATATGACTGTTTATACATTCAGTTTGCCTTTATGAAGCACATTAAATGCCAGAATTTTGACTGAATCCAGTTTGAGGTTGGAATTTCACAATATATTTCCTCCACGCTATGACACACTTTCTATAAATAAAGATAGAAAAAGCTTCTATTTTCAGAGTAAAATGTGCCTCCATTTACCACGTCTCTAATTATAGAGGTAGATGATCCACTTAAACATATTTGGTGGAAACAACAGAGGGAGAGGCACACATACATCACTGGATGTCTTTTTCCCTCTTGCCGTTGCACATTCCTCTAGCTTAACCCGCGCTCAATCACAGAAAAATAAATAAAAAATTAAAGCCAATTACAGTGCGTCGTCTCCGACCTGGAAGGGTCATCTCCACCCCTCTGGCACATGACTGCCAGGACACACCACAGACGTCCCGCCGTGTCTGTGTGTACAATAACTGCAGAGCTGCAGTCTATTTCTGAATGCAGACCTCAAAAATGTCTTCGTGTGCCTCGAGTTGCTATTCTTGCGAGTCCTTGTGTGATTTAGTTTGTGGGTGGGGAGTCCCTCACTGCGGGGCAAGTGAGGCGGGCGGGCCAACAGCGTTTTGATGTCAGCTAGGTTTCGTACAGGTTTCATCGGTTGGGAAATAATTGTACGCTACGGAAAAATCTGTGAGGATCTGAAGGTACGAGATATAAAACGCAACTAGATCTTAGGAACGCATCAGGAAGAACCGGAACACCCAATGAGTTTGTAAATGGTCTTCCAAAATATTCTCATTCAGATTTTTCTTTTCCTCCCCCTTGTTTGCATCTTTCTGTCTCCATATTCTGTAACCTGCCAGATGAAATGCTGCAGGAAGAGACAATACGGGTAATTTTGGACAAACGGGGGGATCTTACTTGGCCTTGGTGACTAGCAGCGCATCGTTGAAGAGGAAGAGGTGTCTCTCCTGGGTCTGCAGGCCCGTCTTCAGCTGCGCTTGGGCGTGACCCAGGAACAGGCGGCCGAGGCATTCGGCCAGGAAGGCCTGGACAAGAGGACACGACTCAGGGCTGACCAGCATCATGCAGCTTTCTCTGGAGGGACGAAAGGAAGAAGAAAGAAGGCCTTAAGTGAAATTGACCGCCGATTACCAAAGTACTGACTCAGCTCCGAGATGAGTTTGGAGACATGAAAGACGATATGTTTAGGAAGACAAACAGTGCATTTCAGCTAAAATTCCCCTCAACCACAAAATCATGATCAAATTTGCTTAAGGAGGTACAGTTCCTTGTAAAAAATTCTTATAAACTTTGGGATTTTTTCCATTTTGGGTCATATTCTGAGTGCACAAGTCGGTGTCGTTTATCGTCAGGTGGGCAGAAGAAGAGTAGGACTGGTTTAATATGTTTTTTTTACTCAAGTAAAAGTAACTGTCCAAAAAGGTTTCCAAGAGCTGTACAGATTGATAGCTGCTGTATGCAAGCTCGGTGTGAACAAATCCATGGTTTGGAGTTGGAGGCGGAAGGCTGCGTCCTTAATAGCAAATTTATTAAGGACACAGCAGAGGGCTGGGATACCAGCAGCTTATATATGTACGTACCCAGTTTAAAAAAAAAAAAAACAATAAAAAAACATGGGTGTGGCTTATAGTGAGGTGCGCTCTCTAGTCCGGAAAATACGAGAAATGTAACTAGTTACAACCCATCAACCCAAATCCCCACAGCATGATACTGCCACCACCAACACGTTTCACTGTGCTATAGACTTTCGAATGTAGCCCAAAAAGAACAGAGCTCCATATTCAAAAGTTGGGGTTAATAACCAGTGGGTATAATAATATTTGTGAGGCTCTTAAACTGAAATGAAAGAAAATAAGTTGACGCACAATAACCAAAGAAGAATTTGGAATAACAATAGTTTCCTCTCACTACTTAATGCTAAATTTGTGTCAGGTTAGAAGGAGAATTAAGATAATTTTTGTCAAGGTTAGCAATTAAATTTAATTAGCAGCCATTATTTTTTAAATACGTTTTTATCTGAATGACTACACTCAGGTATAAATGTGAAATAGGTCTGGCAAATTGTGAACCAGCAAAAAAATAAATAAATAAATAAATCAGATCAAAAATAACCCTGAAACATTTCTCAGTGAGCTTCATCCATAAAAAAAACAAAAACAAAGCAGAAAATCTCCTCAGCTCCGCTGCTTTCAACGACATGCATCAACACCCGAGTTTTTCCTCCAATTTCATTGACAGTATAATATAATGATCTGGCAACGACCACACAGCTAAAAACACGAACCCTGTGTAGCGGTGAACCAACGCTGGAAGGGATTGAAAGGGGATTAAATGTCCCAATAGCTCCTCCAAACTTAATGGAATGGAATTTTCACCGCAATATTTCCTGATTCTTCTTGCTGCAAAATAAATGCTGGGGCTCGAACAAAGCCACAAATCATAAGCTGCGCTGCCTAAGCCAACTGGAAAATGGGTTGCACACAGTTTGTATGTCTTAGACGTGCATAAAAACAGCTTTGGAGATGGAAATATTGAGGTTCCTGGCACTTTACAAAAGCACCTATTAATTAAAAGGGCTCATAGTTTTAAAAAAATATATATATAAATATGAATAAAACAAAAATCTCATTCTGAATTTCATTCAGACTTGGCTTTTATTCTCCTGTCAATACACTCCACTGTTAAGGATATGAAAAAATAACTTTTTTTTTAGAAGAAAAGAAAGGAAGCAATTAGTGTGCTCCATCCTTTCCTGTTTATCCATCGCTCTCTGATAAAAACACTAAACTGTCCCCTTCCAGCCACATTTGCTATCTCCGTTTCTTTCATGTACACAAATGGGCACACGTTCTCTGCCCACAGGTCCACACCCTCGTATTAACAAAGCCTCTGCTGCTTCGAAAAAGAAAGCATGCGTTATTAGTATTCTGGCAAGAAAGCACCGAATGGTGGATCAGGTTTTGCTGAGGAGCCAAAGAAACTTGGATTCCCTCACAGAAACGTCTTTCCAGCCACATCAGACGAGTGTTTGGTTACATAATTAACAAAGAGAAATAAATAGGGGGGGGGGGCACGGTAATAGTGCTCTCTCCTCATCTTTGTGCGTCTTCCAAATATAAATCTCGAAACGTTGGGGCCGAGAGATTTCTGGTAAATTGAATTAATGTGATAAATTAAGCACAGGATTTTCAGACCCTCGTGTGGTGCAGATATAAAACTAGAGAATGAAAAACTGTTGATACTATTCAGTCAAACAATAAAACTATGGAATTTATTTTTTATCTTTTTGTTTGTTGCGAAATAAACCCCACGGAGATGTGTTTAAGCCCCAGGTTTATCCCCAGAACAAATGTTTGAATGGCAATTTGTTTTGTTTGAGAGAAAGACTCGATACACAAATTAATCCCTGACCACGTCATGGTCAGGTTGTCCAAGCGCTTCACTGACTTGCTCGGAGTCCAGATCTGATGCTCAAAAGGAAACATTAATAAAAAACAAGGCTTGGAAGTGGTTGCAACATGGTTTTCTTTGATTTTCTTTTTTATCTGAAACATCAAGTGGAAATGACCCGTAGATCATGTTCTATTCACTGCACTGCTGCTGAAACTACATTGTCAAACTTCAGACAGCTCTAATATTTAGGAGTTTTTATGTCTGATAGTTTGTAGACACTGTTTGATTGGGAATCATTTTGCTTTCACGTTTTTGCTTTCACACTGCACTCTGTCAAATTAACCAAACTCAGTGAAAAAACCCTTCACCCCCTCGCCTGAGGTGGCACTGCACCACAAATTACTGAAGGAAACAAGAAAACCTCTGAAGAAAACACAAGAGCAACTTCCTTCTTCACGAAAAGGAAACAAAAACAGAGTGGCGTCAAATTTTAGTGTTTTGTTTTTGTCGTTAAAAAAAAAAAACATCCTATTTCTGTCTGCTATAGCGCTTCACTCGTTTTGGTTGTATTTACCCAGAATGCCCAGTGCTGTAGTTCGCTTCCTGCTTATGGAGCGGTCTGCGGCCCGCTTGGCATTCACATATGCATTTGATTTGAACCTCAGTTCACTTCAACTGATCTGAGACTAAAGGTTTTTAGGCGGACAAGATTTTGCTTTTTAAGCCGACTGCACATTCACACCTCCCCAAACAAATCGGACTTTGCAGGTAAACTAGAGTTAGAGCGGACTAAACGTGGTTGGCATGAATGCAACCGTAAACTCTGTCTGTTGTACAACATTCTGCATTTTGAATTATTCTCAGCTCTTTGGAAAAGTCGCAGTTGAAATAAACTACAATCTCCCAAATTACAACCAGGGATGACAAAACTCGGGTCAACGCACTCCTGAGTCGTCCCGAGGAAACGTCAGCTGAAGTTATTTGTTAAAAAACAAAAAGAACTGCATCCAGAAAACGGGAGAATTTTGATTTCTTTATGAAGTGGGGCTGAGATAACGGATGCACCTCAGCTCCTGTAATCAGTCCAAATTTCAGAAATCCTCCAGTTAGCACACACACACACAAACAAGCTAGGCCCGCTTTGTAAGCCCCCTTTCACGTCATTTTGCTCCTGCTAATAAAGACAACATCTTCCGTATTCACCACACATCCCTCCCTCCTAAAAGCCAGATTGACAGCCGAGCCGCAGTCCTTTGAATCTGATGGACGAAGAGCTAATGTCTCCATTGTGCGTCATGTGATGTTGATAAATTTCATTCCCGCCCCGCCTGAACGTAGACGCTCGTTTCTGCCGCAGCCCGGGCTCTGTGTGGAAGAAATGTTGACTTTTCAGAGACGCACAATAAGAGCGCGTCAGCGCACAAAAGCTCGCACGACGCTGCATGCTAATCCCCGCGGGATGAATATTCAAGCGGCAAAAATGCGCATATAAAAAGGTTGATGGATTTTATCAGCGTGAGTCACAAAGTTGGACTCTGTCAAGTTGTGAAAGATTAAAAAGAAGGGACCTTTCCTCCTCAGCGTTTGTCAGCGGAGAGATGGACTTTTTCTGTGATGAATGGAGAGCATTCACTCTGAGACGCATCTGATTCACCGAAATCAGCTCAGGTCTCAGATGCTGAACAGCCTGACCAAAACGAGAACCAACAAATTTAAGAGGTGCTGAAGACAACGGCTACAATAAAAAAAATCATACTGCTATTTTATTTATTTATTTATTTTTTAACAGGAAACAGGAAATTTTGGTGGTAGACCAACTTTATCATCCTTTCTTGATCTAGAACGCACTGCATGTAACCACAGCTCAGTTAGCAACACCCTTCAGTGTGGAAGTTGCTAGAGTTCACTATTTTTAGTATCAACAGCAGTTTCCGATGAAGTCAGAAGAAGGACAAAATGTATGCCTAAACAGTTATTTCCATGGAGGCACATTGGCCATTTATCCAGGCAGCAACAACAGAAAGCTAGACTGTGTTGGGTTAAAGGTTATTTCATTTCTTCGATGTGAGCCATGGGTGCTAGTTCGCATCAAATTTGGCGACATCTTATTGAACTGGTAAAGGATTGAATCATCACAGGACAACAGCAAAGCCGGATGTAGCATGAGTAAGTTTCTCCTTTTTAGGTCTTTGCCGTTCAAGAATCTACAAGAAAACTGCATTGCTAAAAAATAAATAAATAAAAAGGAGAAAAAAAAAAGGAAATTGCAGGTGAAACGTCAGAATTACGCCGTATAATTATGGGTACAACATTGTTTCTTCTTTCATGGTTAGAAAGAAAGAACAAAGATGCAACCCCATCATCTTTGTTGGGGTTGCAGTTAAAACATGAGAATGTTTTATGTTAGGGAAAATAACAGTATTTTTCCTAAAATGATTGTACAAATGTAAAAATGACAGTTTTCACCAACTCATTTCACATCAACAACTTTACATTGTTTATGGCTTACGGATTTTTTCATGTCACAACTTTACTGTTTATCACTGTTAAATATACAGATTTGTTATAGTATGATGTTTACATGAAGGGATGCTAACAATGCTAATTGCTAATAAACAATGCTTAAGACAGAATCATTTTACATTTCTTGACACTCGCACATAATTTGATGCCTTTGTTATTATTAACACTGACAGCCTAACTAGGATAGCTAGTATGAAAATATTTTGAACATTGTTAACTACGGTTCTAATAGACAAATCAAAAGTGGCATCAGCAGGTTAGACCTTCATCAAAAACTGAAAAACCAGTGCGTCTATAGACACACAAAAGGAAACCACCAGCTCAATCGTAGCCCTTTTATTTTATAAAAGTCAAAGTGAAGCACGAAAGACGCTGCTGGCCTGCCTCCGCTTTATGCAAATGCCGAAACCCTCCATTTTCCATGCGTCAGTACCTCCTCTACAGTAAAACATTACCTAAGCTGTCAAATAGTGAGCCCATCAAGAGAATATGTTGAGCCTTTCAAGAGGAAACAAAGTCTGTCCCCGTTGATAAGATCCCTGAAACAAACCTTGTGATTAATTTGCTCGTCCGCCGGGGCCAAATCTGACACCTTAACTTCCAACAAATATGATTATTTTGGGCATCAGACCAACGGCATCAAGGAACAAGTGAATGCAATGACGGACGCTGTCAATTCTTTTTCTTTTCTTCCAATTTTCCAAGCAAACTTCACACTGTCTGGTTGCATCATCAGTAGTCCGGTCAGGTTCTCCAGATGAGCAGCCGTTCGCGGCGCAGCTTACGGGCTCGGGGAGACAAAGAGCGGTTTGCTTGCGAAAGACGTCATTCGAGACAGACACACACCACCCTGTACCACCCAAATCCACGGTAGCTGCTTTTCCTCATGGCTACTGTCAAACTCTATTCCAGCCGCGGTGATTTAACACTGTCATTATTTCCTTCTTATTTTTACTTGACTGACCTTACTCTGTAACAGATAAATGCAAAAACTATAAAGTCGCCCCATACTCCTGAGGAAACGCACGCAGTAACACACAACTCTTCCCCTTTTTATTAGCAAAGCAACAAGAGGATATGAGCCACTGCTGTTTCACAATTCAAACCAGAAAATAATGCTTGTGTGTTTTTTATCATATTGTTTAAAGTTACCATGATAAGTTTGATTCATCATTGTCTCAATAAATTCCTCCCGTGGTGTTTAAAAACCCCTAAAACTGTTCATATTGACATGGTTTTTCAGCTTTGCTGTAAATAAAAAATAAAAAAAAGTGAAAACTTTGGCACGCACCAGACTGCAAGTCATAAATTTTCACATTCTTGCAATGCTGCTATCTTCCTCCGATGGCATGTACATTTAATTCCCTCAGGATAATGGAAGTAATCCCATGGTTTGTTTCCATAATCTCTTACAAAAACATAAATAAATCCTGGAGATTGATGGATTAGATTTTGCCTTTGATGCATCTTTATCTCTGTTGGCAGAGATGCAGCAGAGGGAGTCACTGTGGATATTTTCAGATAAACTGAAGAGAGTGGCATGCTTTAGTGTTCAGCTAGCCTGACTCAATACTTTGTAAAACCAACCGGACATTTCTATGAGTCTTGCAATCTTTTGAGGTCTGTCTCTTCCAGATTTGAACATCTGGGGTCTGATTGGTCGAATCTGATCTGGCGTGATTGGATTATTTTGCCGAGGAGAGTTGACCCTTCACCCTGGTTTTGGGTTTTTGCAGCCTCTAGCAGCTTTTCATGCAGGATTGTTGTGTTCTTATAGCTGCATCTAGATTCCCCGACAACTCTGACCAGCTTCCCCACAGCATGATGGAGCCACAACCATGGGGAAAATGTTTGTAATGTGACACGTAGCATTTTGCATTCAGGTCAAAAAGTTCAAATTGGGACAAATTTGACCAGAGTACCTTCTTCCATATGTCTATTGTATCCAGTAAAAGGATTGTGACAAACTACTTTTTTGTGTTTCTATGGTAGCTTTCATCTTGCCACTCCTCCATAAAGGCAAACTTGTAAAGTCAGCTTTCTGGCCTTCACATACCAGTCTTATTTATAGATATTAAATTACACTCAGGTGGACTTCAGTTACTAACCAGCTGGCCCTTATATGGAGCAGATTGTACTTGATTTCAGTCATTGGCATCAGAGTAAAGAACTCACACAAGTGCGTACTTGTCTTTTCAAATTTTCATTTGTAAAACCTCAACATCCTTTCCTTTCTGCTTTACTTTTATGCACCACTTTGTGTTGGTCCGACACACTGAAGTTAGCGGTTGTACGTGGCAAAGAGTGAAAACGAATGCATGTGCGGAGCAGCATATATTTAAGTTTCCTCTCGGATTCCCGCTTCCCAGTTTAAAAAATAAATAAATAAAAAATTCTAAACGCAGAGACGAGCGAAACCAGAAATAGCTCCACTGTTACAGTATGAATGGCGCAAATGGTACATTTTCGCTGCTCTCCCTCCCATCTCGGAGGGATTTACTCGCATAAAGAGCACATTGGTGATGCAATGATACTGAAGCCTCTGCCAAGAGCTGCTGGAAGCACTTATTTATCCGTTTCAACTGCATTTATGTGGCTTAAGGGTTCCAGTGCTTTTCTTTCCAAGGCACGCACAGGGTTAGACAAACCCAACAAAACAAACCAATTTATTACAAAAATTGGCTGTTTTGGCAAACAGCTGGAGCGTAGCGTCAACCACAGCCAGGACCTCAACCTTCTGACGGTTATAGTCACAAACCTCAAGAAGCTGACCCGTCTCCCCATCACTCAACTGGAGATAAATGAACACCTCCCTCCTGACAGCTCCTAATTTAATGTCAAAGGTTAAGAGTGACAGTGGAGAGAGTCAAGTCCTGGCTCCACATCCACTCTCATTTCTCTCTCTCTCTCACACACACACACACACACACGCAGACAGTCGGTCAGACTGGGACAGACTAAGCAGCTCTGTCATGCAGACTATTTGTCTTTCAGTCAATAGAGTTCCTTTCTCAGCCTCTCACCACACCTGCCAACAGAATATGTCTCCCCAAATCTCTTTAACACACAAATCCTGCCCCAAGAGAACCGACCCATTTAACAGCGCAGGGAGTTTCCCTCTCCACACACACATCGCTTCGCGCAGTCAAACCTGAACTCCATCCACAGACACTAAAAATGGTTCACACCTGAGATACGGCCTGGCATTAACAGCATTTGACTGCAAAAAGGTTTTCTGAGACTGGAAGCAGATGGAGAGAGTAAGCCTGCCTCTGAAAGCTGGCATCGACGAGAGTTAGCCGCAGTTTAGAAGATAAACAAACCCCTTCGTAAATAAACAGTGCGGCCAAAGGGGATTGGAAGGGCTTATTTCCGACCCCGGTAAAGGAAAAGGAAGGGATCTGAATGATACGGTGAGAGGGTGGGGGTGGTGATGAAAAGACCGACAGCTCAGGGATAAGTAAGCAGTGAGTGAGTGAGTTGACCTCCAAACTTTGAGATTTTACTCAAACTGAGGGAAAACATAACTCTTGAACAAATATCTAAATCGTAGACTTAGTCATTCAAAACCACAATCTATCTGACTCAGATCAGCAAGCAAACAGCTTCCACTTTCACTCACCAGAGATCCAGGTTTTAAACCTCTGTTGATTTTATCCCAAGCCTCCAAGGCTCAAATTTTTTTCCCCCTTTTCTTTAATCTATGCATTATCAGTCTCTCAAATCAGCGCTTAGTGTTTCCTGGGGAAAACTCAGTGACAAAAACATGAAAGCTTTGTGAATCGGCTCAGCGACTGACTTGGCAAAATGCTTCACAGCAGTTGCGAAAACGCTCTGCAGACATCGGCGAAGGCACACTTTAGCTTTATGTCCAGTCAGAATCTTTAAAAAAGAATCCACTGTTAGTGAAGGCATGAGGAGTCACAGTCAAACACGCTCGTGTTGTCGTGGGGGGCGAAGTTTGGGGGAAAGGATTTCTCATTCAGACGAGTTACACTTTCTAATTTGTTTGAAAGGTCTGTCATACTGGGAGTAAACATTTATACACGCTAAGGAACTTAGAGTTGCTCCACTGCACCTTCATCCATCACATCACACATTTTGCAGAGGACTTGACCACGAATGTCCCAATCAGGATTGTTTTTTTTTTTCGTCTTTTGTCCCTGACGCCGAGCGGCGTCATTTAAGACGAGGAATTTGCCAATAAGGCCTGATAATTAACCTCAGCGCCATGTTTGGTGAGAACCACACATGGTCTGAATTAGTTTTGTGATTGCCTGGCATTTAAACGACGTCCGTTTCTTCCTGACAGCTTCAGATATTTTGTTCCAGTTGGAATTAGTTTTTTTTATAGGTCAGGCTTAATATGGAATGTTTAAACATAGGGACTTAAGCTGGGTGAGTAAAACTTCAAGTTTAATGTCCCGACAACAAGTTACTTGAAATGCAGTTAAGATTTATTGTGTTTCCCAAACACAAACAGCTGCAGTCTTCAATAACCTTCCATTATGATTGTTTTGTGTTGAGCAGTTAGTGGAAGTGCCAAGCGAGGCAAACACTTCCATGTTTCTCTGTTTTGGTGTAATTTCGTTTTTCCTTTTATTGGTAATCGTTTATTTCAATCAGTTACCAAACTTTTGGGAAAAGTTAATAAATGTATAGCTTTGCTTTAAAGGTCATAACATTTAACAACTGGTGCTTCAGCTGCTCTCCATGGATATTCGGGAGCCGCCATATGGGAAAAGCAAGGTTTCCCATATTTCAAGAAAATGAAACACACAGCCTACAATCCAACTTAGCAAAAATACAGCGCTGTCTTTTAAAAACATGTCACAGAAACATAATAAGAATGGATATTGGGAGCAGAGTTTCCTCAATGAAGTTGACTGGGATACAATTGGGACGTCGCCGGTTTTCACGACACCGCTTTCAGACCCTTTCTGATGGGAACACAGACAGGTGTGTATTGCAGATACCTGGAAGCGCTTCTCGATCTCGTAAGTGCTTTGCTGATGACCAGCGAGGGAGCCGACTGTCGCCTCTGGGCGAGGGTCTTCATCTTCTGAGGGGGGCAGACAGAAAGAGCGACACAAAACATGAGTCAAAGCACACGCAGAGATAAAAGTTTGCGTCTGTGTTTTTTTTCGGTTGCATTCTGTGACGGTGAGGTCGGTAGGGCGGGGGACAGAAAGTCCACAGTCAGCACTCTGCGATGCCGTCTGATGGCTGGAAGTTGAGGATTCAAGAGAAAAGGGAGGAGGGGGGAGGTGACTGACAGAAAAAGCAGAAGAGCCAGCAGCAGTGGAGAAGGGGAGGAGGAAATGACACAGACTAAAACATAAAAGTCACAGGGAGTGAAACAGTTTGCGGAGACTGTGGCACAACGTTTAAGATTCCTCAGAATTTGTTCTTAAGATGGCAAAAGGTGTCCTCCCTGACAAGGGCATGCCCGACATTCTCTCAGCTGAATTGACTATTAAACGGTAATCCAATGACAATAAACAAAATCACAACAAATTACCAGCAGTGCAACATAAATTAAACATGGCTTCGGAGCTCATTTTAACCCAAGACATTCCTGGGACATTCCTATTTTACCAGACTTACATGAGACATATAGGCGGCCGTCACAGGAGTCCAACATAAAAGAAAAGCACCATTGATGAGCATCATGGGACACCAGACCGAGTGCTTGCAGGGATAAATAGTTTAGCGGTCACTTGTCAGACATTTAGATCATTTCTAGACTTTATTCAGTTTCAGATTAGCAGTAAGCCACAAGCTGCTGCTGCGATCAGATGAGCCTAAACACAGACACCAGTCATCTTTCCTTTCTCAGAAAGTCCTCAGGTGACTCTTTATCTTTTATTTTTGCAAAAATCAAAACTGAAAGCATGACAATCACTTAAAACGTAAGCTCTTGTTCTTTCTGAATGCAACGAATGATTGGGAGGACACACGTCCTAACTTTAGGGATGCAGATGGAGAGAGGAAGAGAGGATGAAAAGGAAACCCGACATGCAAATGCAATTTTAGACAGCATCAGTTCAATTACACATCTTGCAACACAAAATGAATATTTTGAAGGAAACGCAACAAAGGATGTCTTGAGAGTCTCTGGAATCAAGTTAATCTTTAACTTTTCTTTCATGATTTATTGATCAGTAAAACCAAAATAAAACAAACCAAGCCAAGACATGAACTACCAAAAAATTGTGGTTAAAGCACACACTACTGCAAAGGGTGCAAAAACATAAAACCAATTAATATGGACTATGTTCAAAGCAAAGAGAAGACATTCCAGTTAGAAAAGCTACACTAACTAATAATTACGTAATGCACGTGACAGATTTTTTGCGTACATTTAACCTGTTTAGGTGAGACTTAGTAAATACCTGTTTTGTTTTTTAAAAAAAGCTCTTTTGGAAAAGACACCCTTCGCATAGATGCAGTTACCAATTTTAAACACGCAAACGAGGGGGGGCGTTGTTTACAACAAGATCTCAAAGCATTTCCAGGGGATTCTGCTAAATCTGAGGGAGATATATCTACAATGACAATGTCTATAGCAAAAATAAAAAAAAAGAAAAAAAAAGGATTAGAAGTACAATTCAAAAATAATTTGTCAATTTATTTTGCATTTTGATATTATTGCTAAAATCGTTTTGTGGGATTTTCTTCGTTCAATTCTGTTTTTCTATCTGGACACTTTATTCCACATATAAATCTGCAAATAATCTAAAAAAAACAACTTTAAAAAGCCTCCCATGCGTTGGTTTTATGTCACGTTTTTTCTCATTATTGTACACAGACTCAAAAAAAGATCATTAATAAATAATGACCCCCCCAACATCTCAAATATTTAGATAATCAACATTTTTAGGAAGAAATCAGAAAACAACAAGTATTTTATAACTATTTCATGTTCAAATATGAGATACAGTTTTTACAGTAAAAGTTTTGGCACCCAAACTCTGTGTGTTTCTAAACAAATGCTCCTTGACTGACCCTTAACAGAGGTCGAGTGTCAGCCGAAAACGAGTCCGAGCTCGGTTACCTTCTTGTTATCGGGCAGCGGCTTGCCGTCACCCGTCAGAGAGTCGGACCTGTTCTGCCCCATGCTCCCCTGCTGCGGTGACATGCTTTCCATCAAGGCTGTGTACATCCACGGAGCCGAGCGCACCGGCCATGTATTCCCATCATACGAGCAGTAAAGTCCACGGTTTACCCGCCAGAGAGGAGAGTGGGTGGAGGGTCCATCACAGAGAAGGCGAAGAAGAGCCAACAAAGAGCCCGAGTGTGTGACCGAGGAGCCAGCGGAGCTCCTGACTCGGCCTGAGCGACGTTTGGTCTGAGCGCCCGTTCCTCAGTCTCGCTCAAGTCACTCAAACGGTTTGGAGAGTAAGGGAACATCCGGTCGGTATTTTCAAAATAAAAGTGCTGTAAAGGCTCGCGACTAAGCGTACTTTGACGCATGTAGTATCCGCAAACTTTCTTTTGAGGAAGAAAACGGCGTCATTTCAAAACGCAGAACGGGGAGATAGCAAGCTAGCTAGTGGGAGTTTAGTAGAGCGCGCGCACCGTGTGCAGACAGTGACGTTGTCGAGGGTTCGATTCCCGGTCTTGGTCCCCCCTCGCATTTTTCTCTCCTCCCTATTTTACCTTTCGATAAGGGTCGCTAGAGCTTCAAATAGTGAGCTACATATGTTGTAAATAAAACAAGCATTTAAATCTGATCATGTCTGACCTAAACGTGCTGTCAAAATGAATAAAAACGAGTCTCTGTGTCGAGAAAGACAATGAAAACCACCTTGAATGCAGAAACAGATGACAGATGTGTGTTTAAGGATAAGAAGTTGTTTTATTTACACTTGCTGTGCCTCTTGTGGTGTGTGTAGGTGTGGGAGATTTGCTTTGTTTTGAGTGCAAGGTCTCAACTGGGGCTGGAGAGACGGTGGGGAAAAAACACTGGCGGAAAAATGTTTATATAATTTGTGTTTCCCAGAACCTTCCAATTATTTTTGGTATTATTCAAGCACATTTATTGAACAAGTTCTTTGCTTTTATTTTGAAAAAAAAAGAGTTGTGTTATTCTACATAACTTGACACAACTGAGTGAGGAGGTCTTTGTGTGTGTGTGTGTGTGTGTGTGTGTGTGTGTGTGTGTGTGTGTGTGTGTGTGTGTGTGTGTGTGTGAGTGTGTGTGCAGTCAGTTCCATATAGATAGAAGCTGTTCCTAGACTACATGGCAGTGTGGTCCAGTCCAGGTGTAAGAATGCACTGCCTGAGCCAAGAATAACAGGAGTGATGAGGAGGAATGTTGCCAGTAGTTTCTTTTTTTTTTTTTTTCCACATTTCATGACGCACTCATTTGAGTTATAAGAGCTGCAACAGTAGACCTCACTGTAGGAAACCTTCCTGGGAGGAGGAGAGTGTTTACTCTGAGATGTTGGAAGGAAATCTGAGAGCGCAGCCCTTCATTAAGTCTATAGCTGGACATGATGGACAAATTAATGAATATGCTAACAAATGTTTTTTGTTTTGTTTTCCACTTTTTAAAACAATTAAAGTAAAATACTCCAATTAGCTACGTTAGTGAAGCCCTAGCTGGTAGTTATCATGTGTTTATTTAAACGGGTTTTTACATTTTAAATCTCTTTGCGTAGGAATTCAGACCTCTTAAGCTACAATGTCAAATATTGTTTTTTTTTGTTTTTTTTTTGGTAGAGCAACACAAAATAGTGCAAGCAACCACAAAGTGGAAGTAAACTAACAGGTGGGTTTAAAGGTTGTCTACAACCAAAACTGAACAGCTTCGAGTTCAGTTTGTATTCAGTCCTCTTTATCTTGGTACCTCCAAATGAAATCCACAGCAGCCACAAAAAGAGAGCCAAACGTCACCCTGAACCCATCATCTCCATGGTGATGGGAGCATCAGGATCTGGGCTGCTGGAGTTTAATGGGAACTAATTCCAGTGCAGCTCTGAAACAAAACTGCAGACGACCGCGAAAGACTTTTAACCGGGGGTGGAAATTCAATTTCCAACACAACAACCACACTGAACTACAATGGAGTGGCGTTAGGCCAAAACGTATTCATGGCCTAGTCAAAGTCCAGACCTAAACTCAACTGAAAATCAAGTTAAACAAAATAAATAAAAATCTGTTTCTTTATGTTCTGGAACAACTTAATTGGGCCTGAGCTTATTTTCAAAGATAAACTGCAGCCAGGTTTGCATCAAAAGTAATAACTGCACACGCTTTCTGAAATTTCTCTTCATAAGGAATGTTGAACAATGTCGTCTTGCTTCTTCTACTTCCTCTTTCTTGCGTCTCAATAAAATGCAGGAGAAGTCGTGATTTTAAAGAAGAAAACTTCAGAAGTATCAAGGGATTTGAATATTTTGTTAACCTTTGCCAGAAGCATCTGGGACTCTCAACCCATCATAAATATATTGCTATTATGCTCCCCAACATTGTGAGGATAAACTGCTCAACGAAATTCAAGCATGCAACACAAGGTTAGGGAAAGCTCAGTATAATGTAAAAAAAAAAACCCAAAAAGAACAACCACAATCACCCATTCACAAATACAAAGGTATGCGTCAATTGTTTTAGCTTATCTCTCCCCTGAAAAGTGGTTTGCTTAGGATGATAAGAGCACTGATAGTGCTCAGCCGTCCTCTTTGATCCAAGACGACGGCTGAAGATCCCAGGCTTCTGTTGAGGGAATTTGATCTCTCATTATAGAAGAACAACCAAAATATGCATTCCTCTATAGCAAAAACAGCCTCGGGTCCAGCAGACTGGACTCGTCTTCAGCTGCGACTAGCTTTTTGAGGTCGTGACTGCGGTGTGTGATGCTCTTTGGAGAGATCCGAAGCAGAGAAAAAAAAAGCCAGGGTGTGTCAGAAATGTGGTTGGAAAACGTCACTGGCTGACCATAGCCGACTCCGTGCTGCACCGTGTTGTTCCAACCTCTTAAATGTTCCACTTTGTAAGTGGCTGAGTAACAACAATAAAAAGAAAAAAAAGAGAGAAAAAAAAAGCCAGGCTTTGTTT